GAAAACTGCAGTAGACCTGGTTTAGGTAGGGTGGGAAAAGGGAAGTCTGGGTTCTGTGAGATCTAGTCAGGGGCCAACAGGGCTGTCCCATAAAGATTATGCTCTTGATCCATACACAAGAACAGCTGGTTGAGGGATGGACATAAGAGTCTTCAATGTGGGCTGCATTTCATTTACCAAGCTGTATCATTGTCCTGCTGCTGGTCCATCTCTGCCTTTCTCATTCTTACAAGGGGCACTGTCTGCTAGTAATCTGTGGGTCACAGTGGTCATATCTACCCAGAGGACTCCTGTCCCTAAATCACATCATGACAAAATGTCTTAAGTTATGTATGCCAGACACTGTGCTATGTGATTGCTAGAGTGAGAGTTGCTAAGAAAATGTAGGCAGGAATATACTGTGCTTCCCTTCTCTTTCTTAACTTAACCTTATAGTTCATATCCAAAGCAGACACGCCTGGGATGTTTATTACTTCCCTGGGGAAACCACAGCAATAAGTTCCAGGGGACAGTTGACTACATTCAAGTGTGCACAGATGTTTGAAAGAAATTTTATTTAGGTGAATGAGCCTATTCTTCTTCATTCCTTTCATTTTTCCCTCAGTTCTTCCTTTCTCTCCTTCCTTTCATTCCATTTCATCCACAAAGATTGAGCACCTACTTACTACATGCTGAGTGTGCATAGATATCCGTAGTGAAATCTCAGTCAGGAAGTAGTAGATAAGGGTTTTTTATTTGTATGGTTCTTACTGATTTATATACTGTTTTATCAGATTGTCACTTTTGCCTTATTTACTTTAGATATAAACTCTTTTAAAAAAGGACAAATAAACATAGATTCAGTAGATTGTCCCTGAGCACCCTCCCCTGATTGTCTTCCGTCTCCTTCCTGCAGTTACCACTGAATTTGGGGATTATCATTCCCATGCACATTTTTTTTTTGAGAATTTTTAATATTTATTTTTTAGTTCTCGGCGGACACAACATCCTTGTTGGTATGTGGTGCTGAGGATCGAACCCGGGCCGCACGCATGCCAGGCGAGCGCGCTACCTCCTGAGCCACATCCCCAGCCCCCATGCACATTTTCTATTACATTTATCCATAAACATTTTATAACTTTTGGAGGCACATTGCAGTCTTGTTTTGCTTGTGTGGCTTTTTGACATGACATTATACTACTATGTGTGTACTTTACAGTTTTCATTTTCTCAATGTGTTATAAAAAGATTTGTCTCTATTGGTCTGTGTGCCTCTAGATATCTGATTTATTTATATGGTGTTCTGTGTCCAAGGCTCATTACTGTGTATTTTCTGAGAACCTGACAACAGTTATGTAGTTAAATTATGACTCACTGTTCTACTGAGGAGCAAACAATCTCAGAGAATGAAGTGACTTTCAGACCACGAAATGACCAAGGCCCAGGCTTTCTTTGCATTTAAGGAATTTCTACTCTCCACTGCTTTCTGGATGGTGGTGTAGGTCATTGCACATTGTACATAGGGTGAACTTTGACACTGAGTGTGAGCAACCAGGGGCTTTCAGGTAGGAGAGATTAGGGAAGAGGGCAGAAAGAGAAGGGTAAACAAGGAAGAATCATCCAGAAACTTTACATGTCACCAACTCTCAATCTTGGCTGCTCCTTAGAATTATCTGGAAATTTAGAAAACAGTAATTCCCAGGATGCTCTGGAATTCTGTTGTTGTGGGGGTTTTCTGGACAGCAGGGTGTTTCAAAGCTCTCCAGGTTATTTTAATGTTCAGCCAGGATTGAGAACACTGATCATACAGACTTATGCTCACATTGCACAGATTATTCTTTCTGAACCATTTTGACCTCAAGGTACAAATGGCCAATGCTATGCTCTTTTACTCCTAAATTTTTTATTTTCTAAGAGCATGAATGGTAGTTTAGATAACCATAGCACCCTTATGAATTTTAGGAAATTTAGCATTGTGCCAATGTTATCAATGTTCAATGTATAGTGTGTGTTAAATTTTCATCATTTGTCCCAATGATGTTCTTTAATGTTTGTTTTTTTTTGTTGTTGTTGTTCTGGGTCTCGAACTCAGGGCCTTGTGCTTGCAAGGCAAGCACTCTACCAACTGAGCTATATCCCCAGCCCCCAATGATGTTCTTAATAGCAACTTTTTTTTCTCCCTTCAGGGTCATGTCTTAAATTTAATCTTTATGTCTCTTTAATCCTTTAGTCTGGAATGCTCCCATCTCATTCATTATGTTTTATGATGCTGGTATTTTTGAAGAGGAAAAGCTTGTTGTTTTTTAGAAAGTCCATTTTGTGGAATTAGTATAGATTGTTTAGCTCAGCCCCTATTACTAAGTACCCAGATACTTAGGTTGTATCCAGTCTCTTGCTGCTCAAAAATTGTGAGGAACAATTTCATGTATGCATCATTTCTGTTTGGGTGCGATATACATATGAATGGTGCATTCTCTGATTGAATTGCTGACCAAAAGGTGTTAATTTAGATAATTTCTGATTTCTGAACTGCTTAGAGGCACTTTTGGGCAAAAAATAAATGGTCACAAGTAAGCTGTGGAAATGAAATGTGGCTTCTCTGAGAGGTTCATCTTAGTCTGTTTTGTGTATCAGGTATTTTTGTTATAAAAAATACCTGATACTGGGTAACATGAAAAAAAAAAGATTTATTTGGCTGAGGATTCTTGTGGCTATGTCACTTCCTGGGGGATGGTATCACATTGTAGGAGACTGTGAGAGGTAGTTTTCATGGCAAAAGGGAAAGCAAGAAAGTAGGCAGGGGCCAGGTTTATGCCTTTATAACAAACTGCTCTAGTCCTCTCCTATGAGCCTCAATTCACTCCAGGAAACTGCATTATTTTTTTTCCAAGGGCAGTCATGAATCAGGCCCTACATCTTAAAGATTTCATGCCTTTTAGTATTGTCACATTGGGGACCAAGCTTCCAGTTGGTGGGGAATGAAAACCATATCCAAACCACATAGCAGGCTAGATTAGAGAAAAGATGGCAGTCAGAGCTTTTGCCATGGTTCAAGTCTTGTAGAAACTAAGAAGCTTGAGTTTTTTTCTAGACACTAGGCATCATGCCAGTTACTTTATTTAGGACAAGAGGATTGGAATACAGATATTAGATAATGAAAGAGAATTCTGCTTCCCTCTTTTTTCCAACAACAGATCAGCAAATGAGATCCATGTGTACAATAGTGTGCAAATGATGCATTGTGGGCATTTCATCCACCAGCCCCAGCCTTATAATATCTGATGTCCTGTTGCTGCCGTGATAAGTGTCAAGCTGTTCAGTGTGTATTACAGACATAGCCCTGCCTTTTAAGAAGAGACCACAGTTACAAAAATCTTGGAGAAGATTAGATCAGTTCAGCCTTAGTCCCTTCCTTTAAGAAATATATAGGAGGATATTTCATTAGTGTTGAAAAAAAATGCACTATACCATAGGACCTAAGAGGAGAGGGGCTTCCACCGAAGATTATGTGTTCCCCGTGCAGATATAGATTAAAATAAGGAGAAAGGAGGTCCACACAGTAGTTCAATAAGGCTTTGTAGAGAAAGTGGACATTGGTTAGATAAGGGGTAAGTGAGAAGAACAGAAAAAGAGGCTGGAGACATAGTAAGTGGGCTTTAAATGACAGGGAAAGTAAGAAGTTAGTATGTTCACTGTTGGTGGTAGGAACCATTAAAAGTATTAAACTGAAGCATGAATTCAGTAACAAACTGAAATAAGGCTGCACCTGTTGGTGATGAGGACATAGAAATGAGAGCCACCTGGAGTTAATAATACCATTAACAAATGAAGTGAACTCTGGTTGGCTCAGGAGCCCTACTACTTGTTCCTTCCCATTCATCCCCATCTTCCACTCCATGTTCTATGTAGGTTGCTTCTTTTGAAGTAGTTAATGTTGTCCATCTAGAGCCATAAGATAAAATAATTTCACCTGAAGCTTTCCACTGACTATTAGTTTTGCCTATAATTATGTCCTCCTCCCTTTAGATACAAAAGACCTGTTTGTCCACTGTGGAGACCACGTATACCTCCTAAGACCACCAGTTGAAGCTTATAGTGGTACCTAGACAACTCAATTGGAGATGCAATGATGAGAACAAGAAGCTTCTGTAGAAACTGTGGAAAATGGGACCAGCATGCTCAAGAGAGCAGCAAAAAAGGCTGGTCCTCTCAGAGGCTCACCTGGGAACCTTAGGGCTCAGACCAAATGAACCACCATGTGGAGGCCTTGCCATACTGAAGAGGAGGTTCAGAGAGTTTAAGGAAATGGAGGTTCAGAGGACATGAGTAACTTCCACCTTGGAGAGCCCTGGAATTTCAGCTCTTCTGATTTCATACCCAATGTTGTAATGCCTTCTACAGCACCCTATTTGTACTGGAACTCCATCAACTGGGCAGTCTGATCTTTTATAAGGCATTTTAAAAAAATATTTTTTAGTTGCAGTTGGACACAATACCTTTATTTTATTTATTTTTTAATGTGGTGCTGAGGATCACATAAAAGGGCCTCACATGTGCTAGGCGAGTGCTTTACTGCTAAGCCACAACCCCAGCCCCTTGTGAGGCATTTTTAACTATGAGAAAGGCTTTCCTTTATTTGAGCCATGCACTAATTTCTGTGTACATTAGTGGCTGTGCACCATGCTTCTATGCATGCATGTGCTTAATTTGTTAGTATGTAAAATGGCATCCCTCTTGACCAGTACTCGCATGCAATCTATTCTGCAGAAAGACTAAACATAAGCTTAGTAAAGTGCTGACAGTCCATGGCATAGGAATTGTCCAAGGAAAACTGTATAATCCATTACAACGGTGCTGTAGAGGAGTTTCCTGCAATAGAAATTGAACTTTATGACCTAAACTGATCTTCCAGTTATTGCATGATTCAGTGGCAGGAAGAGTGGTGACAGATCTTTCTAGTCCCACTGATTTTCTTCCTTAATTCTCTTGCTTCTTTTCCCCTTGGACTCAACCATGATGCTTCACAGAGAAGGGGACCCAAGTCAAATCGGCATTAGCAGCCTTTCCATGGTTCTTGAGGTATACTGTGCTGTTTCTTATGGTATGCCTGGTGGGGGTTGGAATCCAGCATGCCTCCCACACATTTTGTGTGTATGAGGAAACAACTCTTTCTTTAATTATGACACTTTTAGGGCCCACCAAGGGAGAGCAGCAGTAGCAACATCAGGTTTCATAGTGGGTAGGTATGGAAGCAGCTGAGTCTGAAGACCATCAGCCTATCACAGGCAGATCTTCATATGGTGCTTCCAGCAGGTCCTTGTATTCAACTGCCATTCTCAGAGGACAGCATGATGCAGTAGGAGAGACAACTGTCAATTCCATCATGAAGTTCAGGAGTAGACCTTTCATGTCATCTTTGTAGAATGAAGACAACTCTAAACTCAGCCTCACTTCAGTTTCTAGGTGGGTAACCAGATTTTCCTTTTTTTCTTCCTATTACTTCAGTTAATCATTTCTGTAAAATATACTCAGGTCTGTGTGGCATATCAGAAAAGTGAAACACTAACCCTTATATTTAATGAGTTTGTAGTCTGGCAGAGGGGATTACACTCTTTCTCCTTTTTTCATTTTTTGCCTGCTCTTGAGAATCACCCATGCTAAATCATGGCTAATTCATGACCAGGTGATAAGTTTTGTAATAAAGGAATATAGTGAACTTAATATAGTCTGGATGTAAACCTTTCTGGATTTAAGTGTGCACAATGGCTACTATGGAAGAAGAGTGTTGTTACCTATTCTGAGCCAGAGAAAAGCAGGGCCAAAGTAGAACTAAAGAACAAAGTAAAAACTAAAAAAAAGTTTAAAAAAACTTCCGCAAGCCCACACATGCTAAGAAGTGGTAGAGACAAGTTTTAAACCCAAGTCTTTGTGAGGGCTATCCTGTGCTTTTTGCCCCAAATTTGCAATTCTTTTAAATGTTATTTTACTTTGCAAAAAGGGGTATTTTAAAAAAACTAATTGAACACTTTATAAAGTTTCCCTTTACTCATAACCCAACATTGTCACATATTAGCATCTCATATAACCATAGAACAATGGTGAGAACTAGAAAATTAATATTAGCTAAACTGGGTATTTGAATCTTTTTAGCTTTTGTCATTAGAAGTTCCTTCTGGTTGTCTTTTGGGTCCCTTCAACAAGCAATCATCTGCCTTTCAGCACCTCTGCATTAGCAGATATTTTAAAATCATCTTGTATTTTCCCTGTCCCTGTCCTAGAGTCATCCACTTCTCTGGTGGTGTTTAGAAGTCAGGATGTGGGTGCTAGATGGTAATTCTTTTGATTAGTCTTAATTTGTTCTGTTTCACTTTTCATGTCAAGTGGGGAGGAGCTGATCTACAACTAGTTCAGGTAAGGCAACATAATCAAGTTGGTCTCCTTGTCTATCTCTTCTGCAGTTCTTTTGACTCTGGGAAGATGTCTACTTTGTCCCCAACTGGGTGGGTTCTTATGCTATCAGAAGAATTAGATAAAAGTACAACTGGGACAGGAATGAAACTATTCTTATGCTCAGGCATAAAGAAGGCAGCACATGGGGGACAGAAATTGCAGGATGACTAAAAGGACAAAGGTGTACAGCTTTTATGGCATCGACAAGGTAGGTAGGGGCTCTGTATCTTGATATTATCATGTGTAGAGGTGGTTTTAGTTGTCCCTGTGTTCTTTTATTTCCCTTTTCATGCAATATGTGTCTCATTGCCATCTTAATTTTCACCTTGGAGTGTGATTTTTTTTACAATACTAATAAAATAAAGGTAATTATTGTTTACTTTAGTGATTATTCTGTATATACATTTGCCTCTCATCACCTGAAATTTTCTACTTATCATCTGGGAGAGTCCCTAATATTATATCAGAACAGGGCAGACAATTGTCTTCCTCATGGATTTGATTTCAGTGACCTTGTTTTACCAAGAAAAAAGACTTCTTGGTATCTATGCTGACCACATAGTCTTTGAAGGCTGAGCTAAACCTTTCAACCACCTATCTTCAGGTGTCCTATCTTAATTTTATAGCCTTGAAGATGGTCTACTTTTAACTCCTTATTTTCTGGAATGTCTATTAACCCTGTAAGACTTGAGAGCTAGCTTCCCTGAGAGATTTACTCCCTTAATCTTTATATTTAGGGGTCCCATTTTTCATGGGGTTCCCTGTCTCATATCACTGTATCTATTCATGGAACTTGAGGATATGTGAAGAGCAGATCTTGGCTACCATCACAGTCCATTTATCTCTTTCATAGATGACAAGACATGCATTTCTGAAATGGGTCAGATCATTTGTTTTTTTTGGAGCAATAAATGCATATTACAAACTGCCATGTGCTAGCAACTGGCATGTATAAATATGAGATGAATAAAGTGAAGCATGTATTCTGAGATGTGGAATAAAAACATAAGCAGAAGCTGGAAAGCATGAAGTAGCTTGGCATGTATAGGAAACTGTAAGCTCAATATAGTTAGGGCAATATTAGAAACAGCAGGAAAGATCTGCTCTAGCCAGTCATGGAGTGGAGACTTTGGAGGTGTGAAAATTACATGCTCACACTTGTGCTTAGAATGATCATCTGGCACTAGTGAGATGTGGGAACACTGGAAACAGACCTGTTGGGGTGATATATCCATGTGCACAAGAGATGATAAAATTCCTACCTGAATGATATGACATATAATGTTCATAGGATATGGTGAATGATTAGACATAGGAAATAGGAGGGGAGAATGGTATGAATGAAGCCTGGGTTTTCTGCTCAAGGGTATGGAGAGTGGTTTTATTATTTGAAGAGGTGGATAGGTACAGGAATATCATTAAATTACTCAATTTGGACAAATCTGACTTGATCCTTGGTGTTTCAGCATATTCAAACTTCATAGGAGAAGACCTGCTGATTCAGAATTTTTTAAGTAGAAGACATTGATTATGCCTACTATGTGTCTTTCTTCTATGGGATTGTCAGGGTGCCATGTGGTGAATAAGAAGGGTCCCTGCCCCCAGGGAGCTCATAGTCTCCTGAGGGAGATAGAAAGTATTAAGGATATATAACAACAACGTAAGCAGAAAGTAGCGGTCCCATTTTTATATTTAGGGGTCTCATTTTTCATGGGGTTCCCTGTTTCATATCACTGTATCTATTCATGGAACTCGAGGATATGTGAAGAGCAGATCAAAGTGCTAGAGGGCCAGCTTTAGACTTAATGTCCCTGTCTTTATCAGTGGGTTACAGTAAATTTTCAAGTTCATAAAGAAAGAACCAATTTTAAGTTAATATTACATGTTACAATACGTAGTGCTAGAGGGCCAGAGGGAACAATGTGTTTAAGAAACAGTAACTAGTCAATTATGATTGAAAAACAGGTATCAGTGGGGTTAGAGGTAAGCTGGTAAGTGTCAGTGGGATCCAAATTGTCACAGATCTTAAATGCTCTGCTTTGAAGTTTTAGGCTCAATTCACCAGACAATGAGAAACAGTTGTGTTTTTTAAGTTGGTCAATGATATCAAGAGTAGGCTTTTGAATTAGAACCAAGAGTAACTTAGATTAGATTCTAAATAAGAAGCACTTCTTTCTCTTATTGTCCCTGCTGTTTCTGTCTCTGGCTTTTATTTGGGACCATCTTTAGAACATGTAATGTAATATTAATTTAGAATTGGTTCTTTCTTTATGAACTTGAAAATTTACTGTAACCCACTGATAAAGACAGGGACATTAAGTCTAAAGCTGGAGAACAGTATGGAGGCTATTTAGCCCACAGTGTAGCAAAGGGCTAGAGGTCACTGATACCATTTATGAGCTCTTATTGAGAAAATAAAAATCTGTTGCCAATCATTGGGCTGTGTGTTAGTCATGTTTTCATTCCTGTTAATACAATACCAGATAAGAGCAACGTATAGGAGGAAAGATATATCTTGACTCACAGTTTCAGAGGATTTGGTCACAGTTGGCTGACTCTACAGTTTTGGGTGTAGGGTGAGGCAGAAGGGTGTGGCAGAAGAAAGCTGCTCAGCTCATAATAGCTGGGAAAAGAGAAAGGAGCTTAGGACAAGATACAGTCCCCAAGGGCATGCCACCAGTGACCTAGTTTCTCCAGCCTTGCCCGAGTATCTGTAGTTTTAATCACCCAGTAGTCCATTCAGATGATTAACTCATGAGACAGATTAATCAATTGATAATCTTACAGATCTTATAAACTAGTCTTTCACTTCTAAATATTGATGCATTGCCTAACATGAACTTTTGAGGGATATTCCCAGATTTAAACAACAATAGGCTGAATGAGGTCAAATTACAGTTTATAGGATACCACATTCCTTCTAAGTATACCACAGATATAGCTATTAAATAGCATAACAATTCTCTTCATTGAATGACTATAGCTTTCTTAATCATTGGAAAACATTTTTTTTCCCTCTAAAGTGATAGACTATCAGTAGTTTTACTATTTAGAATTGTGTTATTTTGACATGGCGAAGTGGCTTTAATTTCCATCATAGGTACAGAGCTTCAGACAAGGGTTCTGAAAACATCATTTCATGTCTGTTTTTTCTTTTTTTGTTTCAGAAAAACTGGACCCTTCATCCACTTTGCAGTTTGACAATTGACAATTCTGTCTTACACCTATGAAAATATTGTCTTATTTAAATTTTACCTAAACTTCATCCTCTCCTCCAAAGTCCTATAGTAACTCCTTTCGTTAGTGAGATGTGATTTCTCTAGAAGGGAACTGTCTCAAACTTCATCTTTGTGCAACTCAGGTTATGGAAAGTGGGAAGGCAGTATGACAAAAGCAGAAAATATACATATATAGATTTAGCTAGGCTGTGTTAATCATAAATATGTCCGTCTCAGGTTTCCTGGCACCATAAATGGGTCAGCTGCTGGGGACCAGAGGGTTGGGAGTGGGCAGTCCTACAAGCCTCTATTCCTAGTAGGAGGAAATAAGGGAAACAGAAAAAACAAGTCATTTGGAAGTTGCCATTAATTTCAAAGGGAGTCTTTTTCAATTGGTCACCATGTCTAAGAAAAGAAATTCCAACTAGAGTATTTTTCTGAAGTAAATACCTGCACATGGAGACAGCGATTAGACAAGAAAAATTTCTCCAATTAGTTAAAGTGTTTCCCTTAGTGATTCATCTTTCTGAATTTTCAATAAAGTTTAAGATTTAATGATTGCCTTGTTTGTTTCTCAGGCTCTTGAAAATGCTGCCAACTTCAATAGACATGAATATATCCAGCAAAAACCAGCCACTGGGAGGCACCATAAGTACCTGAGCCTGAAAAAGGGGAAAGTTGAAAATTTTGTTCTTTGTCTCCTTAGTTGCGCTGCATTGAATCCATCCCTGATTACAATCCTACTACAGGGCTCCTGCCAATTGTTTCAGTTCTCAAGTGGTTTATGCACACATTTTTCTCCCTTTTATCAACCTTAACATCAGTAAAGGATTCTCACACTTCATGAATGAAGGCCTCTAATTTCACTTTAGATAACTTATCTTTCAAATTGCTCTTTCCTTTAAGTTCTTGAACCTCTGGAAATGGACTGTGCCTGAGCCTAATATATGACCTTTTTTTTCCTTAAGTAATGACAGATGAACTTTCCCTACCTAAAAGATGCATATTATGCATTTCAAGCAAGGATGAGAATATGAAATAGGTATAAGTTCTGTATTAAATATTCTTTAAAACACATATTATGCCATAGTGATAGATAGCAAATAGACATGATTGGTAGGATCATGAAGTTAGGGGGATAATTCTATAAACTGGGCCTATGTGCTGGACCCCTCCACATGTTTTCTCTTAAAAAGCAATTACCTGAGATCATTCTGTCCCTGCTCTGGCTTAAGTCAATAGGATATTACATTCCTTGACAGATAAACTGTTATCTTTATGGCTATTCTCTTGGGGTCAAGGAATTTAAGGTCTCTCACTTAGAGTAACAAAAAAAATTCCCTGGAAAAGAGGACTTTTCTGACATTTATATAGACCAAAGTTTCCAAGACTCAAGAAAATAG